GGTATCTGATCTTGGAACCAGACCACACTGGGATCCAGACAACACCCCTCATCCTTAATGCAGACACATCATGTTTTGAGTCCCGGTGACATTACATGTCACTCTTCTAAGGAAAAAAGACTGTTTTCATAGTTTACTGGTAGGTATTTTAAAAAGCATGAACGTAGTAAACATTATCTTGGGTAGGCTTCTGGGAATCCTTTCTAAGATGTTATTTGATGATTACTTATTTTACATGATCTCTACACAGAATGTGGGGCTCAAACCCACAATGCCAAGACTAAGAGTTCCACTATCCCCTGCAAATTCTTTTGAAGGTCTGAGACAGCAATACTATCCCATTTGATGTCCAACCCAACAGGGTGAGTTACACTCTCTCCTTTTGCCAAGGGTAAAACTATAAACACTAGTCCAATTGGTATGCTACTGGGGTACTTTAGGACTGTGGAATATTATGGAAACCACGAAATGTTGTTACATCCAATGTTAATAAAACAAAGAGGCTCCCATGCCTAAAATGTACGTTATGCTGTATTTTGGCAGGAGTTCTGGCTGCTATTACTGGCACTGTGCACACCAGACTTTGGATCCTGAGGGTAAGAAGAAAGCACTTCACAGATATTCCCACCACCATCACTGACCGCGGGGAAAAAAAACAAGCAATCGTGAGCAATGGTCAAAAGGCACATTCCTCCAAGTCATATTGAAACAAAATCAACCAAAGACACCAAAAATAACTCTCAGAAGAGATAAAAACGACATAAAAAATTTAACAATAATTTTTTTTTATTTCTCCTCAATAAAAGGAGAAAATTTAGGTGAAAACATGTGTTTCAATAATGAAGACTGAAAATACAGAGGTGATTCAGAGTCAGGAAATTCCACTATTAGCAACAGAAAACAGAAAAAACTTTCAAGAATCAGAAAGTCTCATGTGATGATCACAGATTGGGAAATTTTTGGAATATGAACTTCAAGTTTTTTTCTTTTTTCTAAAATTATACAAAGTTGTACACACACACACCCCTCCCACAGACACATTCTTATCAACCTTAGTCTAAAAGACACTGTAATGGGAGAAAAAAAAAAAAACATGTTTTACATAACCATGTGATTACTTCAAGTCTGAGACAACAAAACGTATATCGTATTGATGTAGAGGACAAAGGTCACTTACCACCATGAGTGTTCGTATCAGGAACACGAACTAGAAATTAAGACACTTTGCATCTCTATCATGGAAGAGGCACTTACAAACACAAAGTCATGTTTGTAACAATGAAATGATTTCTGTCCTGCCACAACTGTCATGAACAAAATACATGAAGTTCTATACGGGAAGTGTTCCCCAAATTGTGTCCATTCGGGTTTGTCTCCAGTATATCGGCTCTCATTTAAAAGACGATTTTAGGGAGATTAAATGCTTTCGCACAGTGTCTGTGCTCCCAGATTGAGGAAACACTCGAAGGCTTTTCCACGGTTCTTCACTTCTCAGGGCTTCACATCACTGTGCCCTCACAAGCATCCCCGAAGATTAGAGGGAACCTGAAGGCTTTCCCACAGCGTGGACATTCACACAATTCTCGTCTAGCGAGTGTCATCACAGATACTTGCACTTCTATGCGATACTAGAAGGTCTTACCAGAGTCCGTAGATTCACAAAAGGTTACCGTCCACTGTGATTCCTCACGTGTTCCTGAAGGGAGTAGTGACCGGTGAAGTTCTCTCCCCACTGTGTTTCTTCATATGCCCTCGAAGGGATGAGGGAAACTTGTATGCTTTCCCGCACTCCTTGCATTTATAGGATTTAACTGTGTCGTGCGTTTTCAGATGATCTTGAAAACACTGAGGCCGACTGAAAGCTTTCCCACACTCTGTACACTTAAAAGGTCTCTCCCCAGTGTGTGTCCGCGTGTGTGCTTCCAGGTGCGGTGGACTCCTGAAGGCTTTGCCACAGTGGTGACATTCATAGGGTCTCTTCCTAGTTTGTGTCCTCATATGAGCTCATAGGTTTCCAGGAGAGGTGCAGGCTTTCCCACACTGCTGACATTTTCAAGGTCGTTCTCCACTGTGTGTCCTCATATGTGCTCGAAGGTTTGCAGGAGACTTAAAGGCTTTCCCACACAGCTCACATTTGAAGGGTCTTTCCCCAGTGTGTATCCTCGTATGTACCTGTAGGTCTCTGTGGCACCTGAAGGCTGTGTCACACTCCTTACATTCATAGGGTTTCAGGATATCGTGTGTGGCCATGTGATGTTCAAAAGGTCGATGCTTTCTGAAAGTTTCACCACACTCCTTACATTCCAAGTGTCCACCCTCGGTGTGCCTTCTCACAGTATGTACTACAAGTGTGTAGTGACGAATGAAGGTTCTTTCACAGTGCTGACACTTATAGGGTCTCTCTCCAGTGTGTTTCCGCATGTGTTCTCGTAGGCCTGAGTTATACTTGAAGGCCATCCCACACTGCTGACATTCATACCGTCTCTCGCCCGTGTGTGTTGGCATATGTTCCCGCAGATTCCCCATATATCTGAAGGCCTTCCCACACTGCTGACATTCATAGGGTCTTTCCCCAGTGTGCGTCCTCATATGGATGCGCAGGTCTGTGTTATCCCGGAAGGATCTGCCACACCGGTTACATTCATAGGGTTTCACGGTACTATGGGTGGCCATGTGACGATTAAAATGTCCACACTTCTGGAAAGTTTTCCCACACTCCACACATTCATAGGGTCTCTCCCCAGTGTGAGTAATCATGTGACGTGT